CCCCCAAACCGAGGGAACCGCTATACCTCGTCGGGCACAGAGATCCTTGCACTGTTCCGCCTGTCCGCTCTCGCTCGTCTCCTGCCACACTAAACTGAGCTCTCCCCCATCCCAGCTGTGTCCTTTACTCATATAAACGGGCGCGTCTCGACGGGAGCTGGCAGGAGTTTGCCGAAGAGAAAGGGAATAGGGAGCACCGTCTACGGGACATCGCCTTTCCCACCACCACCGCCGCCCGGACACTCGGCCCCCTCAAGATGCGGATTCCCTTGGCTGCCGTCGCCGCGTGGCCGCCGGCCAACCACGTCAACCCCGAGACGCTGGGACCTGGAAATACGATCCTGCTGTCCATACTCCAGACGTTGGTGACGGCCCTGATCGCTATCCGTCTCTACACCCGTATGAGAATGTCTACCGGGTGCAGGCTCGACGATACGCTAATAGTGCTGGCATATGTGAGTCTTGGCCGCCCATCGTCGGCCGGGGATTCCGTCGCCGTACTGACACGCCACCCGCAGGTCCCCACCACAGGCTATGCCATTGGTGGCATATACCAAGAGCTGGTGCTGAAGGGCGACCGACACATCTGGGACTTCCCCATAGAAAATTCCGAGGCGGCGTTCAAGCTCAGGTTAGCGCCATGCGCCTCCCTCCAGAGCCTAGACCGCATCGTTTCGTTTCACACATGGGGCTGACATGCATACACACACACACGAACCAATAGCCTGGCACATCTCCTCCTCTTCTGCGGGGCGACCACGCTGACCAAGCTGTCCATGCTGGCGCTCATCCACCGCATCACGACGGCGGCGGGCGACCGGACGGGCCGCATGCTGACGGGGGCACTGGCGGCCGTCGTGGCGCTCGACGGCGTCGTGTTCCTCGTGGTGGAGCTGACGCAGTGCCGCCCGCTCTCGCTCTACTGGACGCCCTCGATCCGCCGGCAGGACTGCATCAACGAGTCGGCCCACCTGCTCGCGGCCGGCGTCATCAACACCGTGACGGACCTGCTCATCGTCCTGCTGCCCGTCCGCACCGTCCTCAACCTGGACCTGCCGCGCCGCCAGCTGCTCGTCGTCCAGGCCCTGCTGGGTGGCGGCATCCTGGCCACCGTCGCGGGGGCCGTCCGCACAAAGTACACGTGGAGCGTCTTCACCGCGCCCGACTTTGATGTCACCTGGCGCCTGCACCTCGTTATCTCACTCAGTGCGGTCGAGCTTTATCTGGGCATTGTGGGTTCTTTTTTTTTTTTCTTCTTCTTCCTCTTCTGTTTCTGTTTGCCAGCTGCCTACGGGACAGCTACTAACTCCAGCCTCTTCTCAGGTGTGCGCCTCGCTGGCTGCGACAAAGCCCTTCTTCCAGCACTTCATCCCGCGCCTCCTGGGCAGGTCGGACGTGACGGAGCCCCTGAGCCTAAAGAAGAGCAGGCCATCAGTGGACGATGGCGGGAGCATGGCGGCGCTCAGGTCGTCTGCCAGGTCCATGGCCAACGGCACCGCCATCCCCAAGCCAGCATGGTTGAGTAAAATGAGGAGGGGCGGGGGGGACAAGGGCGGCAGCGGCGGCGGCGGGAACCTGGCTGCTCAGTTGCAGTTCGGCTGGCGGCCCATCATCTCGTCGCCCGTCATATCTTCGCCCATAACGCCGCTCGTCAAAGACAAGAACCAGAAGCTGCAGGGCCTGCAGCGCCAACAGTCATCGTACTCAATAGCCCGAAAGCCCGTCCCGGGCTCCACGCCGCCCTGGCAGTACCCAGAGGCAAGGCTCGTGCCCATCTCCTCATTCTCCACAGCAACACCGAGGCCCGCCACCGCCGTCCCCTCAACCTCCCACGCCCGGGCAGACCTCAACAAACCCCTGCCCGCGCTCGACGCCGCCGCCGCCGCCTCCGTCTACAGCTCGCCGGGCTTCCGCGGCAGCGCCGTCGTCGAGGCGCTGTCCCTCCTCACCACCCCCGCCCCCGCTTCCGCCAGCAGGAGCCGGCCGCTGACCACGTACGGCGCGGCCGGCTTCGGCCCACTCGCCGCCGTGCAGCAGCGGGAGCAGCAGCGGCCGCCGCGGCGGTCGTCGGCGCCGCGCATGCCGTCGTCGTCGCTGGCCTACGAGCCGTCCGTGCTGGCGGGCAGCAGCAGCAGCACCAGCGGCGGTGGCGGCACGCAGTCGCAGATGTGCAGCGTCTACGACTTCATGGCCTACGACGACGGCCACATCTCGGTCTACAAGGCGAGCGGCGGCGGCGGCGGCGGCGGCGGCGGCAGGACGGGGGCGCCGCCGTCCGCCCGGGACTGAGCTGTAGGGGCTGCGCTTTTGTGGCACCTCCATCCCTGTGTCGACGCCTCCTCTTGTTCCATTTCCTTGCTCTTCCTTTCTTTTTGGGTCATGCCACTCATCTCTCACACCCTGTTCTCCCACTCCACGCCCTCTGGTGGCCATGTGGGTTTTGATTGCAATTCTATTTTACAATGCCGAACGATATGATACCCCCACCCACAAAGCTGATGTCCTTATGCAGAGAAGTAAAAATCCAATCAAACTCAATAGAAAAAAAAGAAAAAAAAAGTAAAAATCAAGTGTCTCCCAGTCAAGATCCTCCTGTGTGATGTCTGCTTGGCGTGCGTAGGAAGCGGGGTCCCGGCGAGTTGGGGGTGGCTCGGCAAGCGTGGCTGACGTTTTTGACAGTAAGTAGCAGAGAGGGTTGCTTTTTTTTTTCTTCTTTCCCAGCAATTAATTTTCGCCATACATCACGGCGCCTCTGAAGGGCCGCTCCGAGAAGCACTTTGCTTTTACTCCGTTGCCACACACACACCTCGGGGCTTTCGCTATATCGGGCTGTGATGGACAGCATGTACCAACGTGCCTCTCCATCTAGGTATATACATGGGTATAAAAGCACAAACGTGGGCGGGCTATAAGGTAAAAAAAAAGACCGGACGGCTAAAACCCCAAGATGCCGACGTTGCAACCCCCCAAAAAGTGACCATCCACCACCACCCCCCCAACCCTCCCGCTGCGTCGCCGTTATCAAGGGAGTGGGCTAGCCCCGAGCGAGCCAGGCCGGCGTTGAGGGGTAAAGTCGCAGATAGAATGAGCTGACAAAAAAAAAAAAAGAAAAAGAAAAAAAAAAAAGACCAAGAAAGCAAAGAAAAAAAAGAAGCAGTCATTTGTTGATTGGTAGGGGCAATAACATTGCCCACCGTCCCATATTTCAGATCTCCTCTGCGCTGTGCCGAGCTAGGCATGTATGCATGCTAGCTGGACATGGGCATTTTGGAGCCGAGAGCCGGCGATCCTGGTGCCTGCCGTCGGGTTTCCTGCCTGGTTTTGGTCTTGTTTGATCGGTACGCCGCCGCTTGATTTTTTCTCTCTCTTTTAGACATGAAAGGATGCGTCTGGCCTTGGTACTTTCTTTTTTTTCTCGCCGTTGGCTCGCTTAACTCCAACGGGCACAGCCGTCAACACAACCTCCCCACCCCCACCTGCGGCATCTCGAGAGTGGTCTGTCCACCCGATCCATCTCTGGGCTTCATACATCGTGGTGAGGCGTCTGGGTCTGTTGGCGGTTCCGACAGTTAACTGCGCAAATCACGGGCTGGACACCCATAGATATCAAAGTGAAATAAAACAAAGCCTGGTAAATTCCGGCAAGGGTATAAACAAAATCTTCCTCTGATGTCAAGAGGTGCTGTCATGTACAACTCCAGAATACGCCTTGAGCGCCATAACCCGGGGCTGCTCAGGGTATCCAAATGAGCAGGTTCATGCAAATCCAACCAGAAAGCAAATGCCAAATGTGAGTCCCAAAAGTGCTAGTAGATCCAAACAGATAGTGAATCGACAAAGGGGAGGCATGACTAAAAGATGGTGGTAAGGGAAAAGACAAAGATGACGCAAAATAAAAGAGCAAAACATGAAACAGTAGAAATCAGAAGGCCGACCTTCAGAACCGTGTGTCTAGGTATCCCAAAAAAAGACCGTCGTGGATCAAACCCCCACCGACACTCCAAAAAACCAAACCAGAAAAAGCAAGCCGAAATCCTGGGCATGAACCGCGCCCTTCACCAAATCCGAAAACCTTTGGCGCCGCCCGTATACTTCCGTGTGCATACACAGTCCAATACCCAACACCGTTTTTTATTTCCTCCTGCGCCAAAGAGCAAAAAATCTGTCCAGCAACCTCCCTGGTATAGAATCTGTTAACCTGTTTTTTTTTCTGTGGGGTTGTGTTTGTGATTTTTTTTGTCTCTTGATTTTTTTTCTTGTTTTTCTGTTGTGTTCAGTTGGTGTAGGACCTGCGGTACTCGCCCTTGACGTAGGTGGCCTTCTTGGCGGCGGGGGCACAGCTGGAGAGAGCATCCAGAAGCACCTGGGCGTCCTTGATTTGCTGGGTCACGTTGGAGTCGTCGTACTCCAGGCGGGAGACGACATCGACGAGCCTGCGCTGCTGGTCGAGCCACCTCTCGGCAGCCCGAGCCTGGCGCTCCTCAGCCTTGGAGATCTGGGTCGGGGCCGGCGTGAGGATAGGGGGCTGGGCCTGGGACTTGAGAGAGGACTTCCGGCTGGGGGTGGGGGCAGGCTCCTCCTTCTTCCGCTTGCGGTTCTTGTTGACCTGGGTCGGGCTGGGGCCGGACGGGGGCGGCGAACCTCCGGAGCTGGTGGGGATCTGGACAGGGGCGGTGTCGTTGTGCACGCGCTTCATGTGGTCCTTCAGGTTCCAGTGGCGGGGGAATCCGTTGCCGGGCTGGGCGCGGTCGCAACCCTCGTAGGTGCACATGAAGGGCTTGTCACCGTGGCCGTGCATCCCGTGGGCCTCGCGCTCGTGGCGGAGAAGGCAGGCGGTCGACGAGAAGCGGGCGTTCTCGCACGACTCCAGCTTGCAGCGGTAGGGCTTGAGGTGGGAGTCGACAAACTTGCTGCATGGGTGTCAGTAACAGGAATCAGGGAAAAGACAAGCCGACAACGGAGGGATTCTTACTCATAGTTGCACTTGAGCTTCTCGGGCTTGTGGTTGCAGCTCTCATCACCCTCCCACGGGCAGTGGAACATGCCGTCGGGGTGGGGGACGGCCTGCTTGTACAGGGCATGGTCGCGGGGAGACTCGATCTCGCTGCCGCCAATACGGGCGAAAGCGGGGGGCAGAGAGAACTCCTGGGATGGGAGCTCCTCCATGGGCTGGGCACAGTACTTCCGGCTGATCCTGAGAACATCCTCACTGTGAGACACGGGAAGCTCAAGGGATTGCGGAAAAAGGCTCGACATTGCAACATACCTCGGCGACTGGCCCGGGAAGACGGGAGAAGAGCCGGTGGTGTTGGGGGAGGAGGCAAGGCGCTGGCCGCCGATCCAGGCGTCCTCAATAGCGCCAGGAGAGGGGGTCCTGGCAAGACCAGTGCTGTAAGAGTCCCACGAGTGTGCAGGGGAGTTGCCCATGGCGGGCTCAAAATCCATCTGTGTGCAAGTGGGGTCCACATGCTGGCTCAGGACAGGAGTCATGGTGGCAAAGGGAAGGCCATCGGCCGTGAAGGTGGGGTTCAGGCCCGAGTAAAGGCTCTGCGAGGGCACGCTCATGGTGCTCTCCATTCCCAGGTACTGGCTGACATCAACCATGCGGCCAGAGGTAATGGGGCCGTTGCCAGTCATGTGGCTGTAGGCAAGCTCAGGGGCCTGGGCGAGCGTGGCGCGAAGCCGCCTGCGGGCCTTGCTGGACGCGCTGCTGTGCCTGTGGCTGCTGGTCGAGCTCCTCGAGGTGAGGCGGCGCATGGGCTCCGAGCCAACGGAAACAGGGACGGCATCCTGGGCAGTAGGCATGGACCACTTGCTGTGGAAGTCCTCCTCGCCATGGGTCGGGGTGGTATGGCCCAGAGTAAACGGGGAGTAGGAATCGCCCGCTCCGTGATCCTGGAAGTCAGGAAAGTTCTGTGTGCCTTCAACTGCCGAATCCCAGGTCGAACCTGCCAGGTCCGCTGGTCCTGTCTGAGAGAAAGAAGGAAAAATTCCGGTTGCCGGGGAGGGCATGAGGGTTGTGGCCTGAGAGAAGTTGAACTCGCTAAAGGAAGTATTAGTCTGCTGTTCTCCGCTGCTCGGTGTTTTCAAATGTTTTTTTTGAAACGAGCAGTCAGGAACACGGAACTCCGAAATCCCTTCAGCATGCAACAACTTTGCCACTATAACGTCGGCGGATTAGCTATCAGTACCTCCAGGCAATGTCACAGCAGCAATGGGTGGGGCACAAACCAGACTGATGACTGTCTCGCAGTTCTCCGCGTATCCAGGCGGCTGAAGAAGCAAAGAAAATACATGAAAATGCAAAAGGCGTCGCCGTCGTCCAGGATATGATGATGATGGTCCGTGGTCCGTGGTTGACATTCAAATCCTCAAGGCTGGTCCAGAAAAAGAAGCAAATTGCACCAGGTCCCAAGGTGCGATCGAAGCAGAGAAGCGAGAGAGCGCCAGTGAACAGAGTACAAGCATCAAGAGCCACGGCGTGCTGTGGGTCAGGGCAGTGCCTTGTTAGTGCATGCATGGAGGGGAGGGGATTTGCGACATGAGCTCGATGCCGCCGCCGTGGCTCGTACGTACTCTCTCTGTTCAGTGCAGCGAATCAAACCAGTCCATGGAAAGATTGGGAACAGGGTCCGGAAAGTCCTCAAAAAGGAACGCAGCAAAGCCGAAGCACAGTCCATAGCATGTGTTGAGTGATCACCAGCGTCGACACAAGCTGCTCCAGCGGAGACAGTTCATGTGGCCATGCAGACGAGTCCTGAGAGCGAGAGAAAATCCTTGAAATCCGAGTCCTATTGGGTTGTGTCCATGTTGGGGTGTTGTCCTTCAGAGCGGAGTGCACAGGCGCAATCAGAGTTAAATTGCAGAGCAACAATCCACCCACCAACACTTCTCCACCATCCAGGGCCAGCAGGCGCAGGATGCTTGAGAAGGTCAGTAGGCAGAGAGCCGCAGAACCTGGCGGTTGGGTTGAAGATCCTCGGGAGAAAAGGAAAAAAATGGCCAGCATGGTCAAGTCCAGACAAGTTCGGTAAGTCCTGATGTCCGCGCCTTCCAGTAAAACATGGCGAGTATCCAGGTGCCTTTCCATTGTTGCTGCATTGTCCCGTGGGGTGTCCCGTATCTGGGGCGTTCTAATCCTGGGAGTTGTTGCCAGGGAAGAAACCTACCAGTCTGCGTGCACGTATGCTGATAAATGGCTTGTGAGGCCACGCATGTATGCTCGCAACCCGTCCCAAAGGACAGGAGCTGGAGATCCCATGAGGAACGGGTGCCTGTCTGGGTCTCGTCCTGGGAAGCCCTGGGAATGTTGTCCTATCCATGGGATGCTTTGTTGACAAGAGACGGTGGAGAGCAGCGCTCTTGTTCAGTCACGGAGAGGTCCTGGAGTGTACTGTGGTTCCTGGAATGGTAATGTTGCTGACACGAAAAGCAGCCTCTCCGGAGGCGGGCGACAAACGCGGACAAAAGGACAGCGCAGACACGACTGCCCACCAGGGGGCGGGCTCAAAGGCCGAAAAGCAAAAACGCCAAAAATGCAAAAAGAACCTCCCAATGGTAACAGATATGAAAAACGTGGAAAAATACCTGGCGGGTGTGTGGACGTCGTCGAACCCTGGCATGGAGTCCTGGCAAGTCATGATAATGGCCATTGTTCCAGAGGAGAGGCCCAGGCAAGGGCTTTGGGCGCTAGTCCAGATGAGGATTGGGCGCAAGCACAGAGTAAATGCTGCTCCGTTGACAACAGGCTGGCGCCTGAGGCAAGAAACCAGTGTCCCTGGGGAGAGAGATGTTGGGTGGCGGTGAGAGCTGGAGCAGTTTGCGCGCGGCTGGTGCCAATCGTGCAACTGTGCTGAATCCTTTGGGCGAGGATGAAAGAAGCTGGGCAGCAAAAGGCGGCGAGGACGATCTGCGAGGGCAGCTATATGGGCATGCAGGAGTGGGGACTAGATGGGGGTAGAAGAGGCAGGCCGGTGGGAGGTTGGGCAGCAAGGCGAGGGCGATGGCGTGAGCTGCTGATGGCTAGCTTGGGGATTGGGCTCCGTGGTTGGGTTGGGTTGAGGAAAGGAGAGAGAAAAGGCGGGATGATCAGGTTGGGCAGGAGAGGGGCCTGTCAGGTTTTAATGCCGAACAGGCCAGCGCAAATGGGCTCCAGAGGGGATCCAGAGGGGATCCAGAGGGGATCCAGCAGGGCTCCGCTCTGCGTCGGATTTCTCGCGACAACCTCACACACCCCCTGTCATGCAACCCACAATTAATTTCCCACTCGTGCCGTTTTCCTGTCTCTGCTCACATCTTCATGTTTCTTTTTCGCTGGCAACGCGTCAGAGCCAGGTCGTCACATTGGCCGCATGGCCGCCCGTGAGCTGGCAATCTCTCCAATCACTCAAATCCCTCGCCGACGCGCCCTCTCATAGGCTGGGGCCGCCTGCCCGTGGCCCGTAGCGCCCCCCGGTTGCATGCGCCGCTGAGGTCGCAGAGGTCGCACACGGGCACCACCACCAGCCGACGACTCGCGCCGACGGCCGTCTTTCCTTGATTCTAGAGATTCCAGCGTCGCGTCGGCGGGGCGCCGTCGGCCTATCACGGCGCCGTGGCAGGGGAGGCTTGCTGCAACGACAACGCATCAATGCAGCTGCCCATATCCATCCAGTCGCTGCTAGTGCCCAGCGCCATGCCATGCGGCCACTTGTTGTCGTCCCCAGACCCCGCACCGCGACAGCATGCAGGCAGAATGTGCACAAGTCCAAGACGTGCTGCAGCTCCCCCCCCGGCGACGTGGCCTCCCCTCGTGCGCTGCCCGCCCTGCCAGTGTCTGCCAGTGTCTGTCACCTCGCTTGGCAGCCTGTCTGCCCGCCCTCCATAACACTGACGTCCCCTCCCTCCCCCCCTCCTGCCCGGAGCCCTCGGTCTGGCTTGTTCCTCTCCGTCCATCCCTCGGCCAGAGAGACCTGGATGTACTTGGCCCGGGCTGTGATCGCCCGGCACTAGCAACAATGAATGTCGAGAACAGGCCTGCTTCGTCCTGCCGAATGTCTTCATGCCAATGCTTGATCAGCCCTCCGCGTCGCTCTCCTTGCGGCAAGGCTCGCCATGACACCTATCCGTTTCGGTCCTGGTGACCAATACTCCATCCCCACGTCCCACAAGCAAAGAAGCCGGGCGACAGCTTCGCACATCACACTCTGAGGCGGCCGGCCGGCCACTCATGGGGCCCGTCTTGACCCTCTCTTGTCGTCTCACCGCATGAAAAATCACGCACGCGACGGTGCCACCGCCCAATGGGGACGCTCGGAGCATGCACTATCGACACCTGCCGTGACCATACACGACGCCGTGCAGCTGCCTACAGACGACCCCATGCACCCCTCCACTGCCACCACCGTCATCACCCCGAAAGCTGCGCGAGACTGTCACATTGGCTTCCACGCCGAGCAAAATGACGGATGCCAACCTCGGCCAGCCAGGCTAGTCGATGCAGGCGACTGTATGGTTTGTCTGTGTTCTCTGTGCTTGCTTCTTCCGCGGTTTTGAGTTTCAGTTTTGTGAAGGTGTCATGGAGACTGTTGGGTCACTCCGGGCCACTCGATGCTGGATGACAGTCTCCCGGGTGCGGCTCCGGAGCCCCGAAGGCTGTCACACTATCACCCTTCACGGGCGCAAGTGCAAAAGGAAATACAAAGCCAAAATGCGGTGAGAAGCCATATTGTTAGAGTTTGCTAAGATCCCTGGAGCATCGAGGCAGAACCGCCATCAGCTCTTTCCAGAGTGTACTTGTTTGTCTACATGAGATGGGTCTGCCGCCGGGTGAGCCGTCGACGTGGTCATCGCGCCACGGCCTTCACCCCATACCACCTGCACTCGCTCTTGGCTTTGACGGGAGGAAACGACTCGGCCCAATCAACGGCTTGCGAGGACCCCAAAGGCGACCGAGCTTGGCAGCCGAAGCTTGACATCGAATACCCTCATCTAAGCCCCAATTGCCCCGATTGCCCCTCCTATCTCCCGACAACTCCCAGACGCACCCTCATGCACCGTAGCAGTCAACGGCCAGCTGGCCCCGTCCAAGCCTCCTTGCATCATGCCGGCTTCTGAGTGCATGAGCTCCTCCAGGACACAGAAGAAGGGACGATGTAGCAGGGACTGCATCGTGATGTAATTATGCGGTGCGGCTGACAGGTATAGGAACGTGCATTCGAAGTCGTTTCCTCTCCCCTGTACCAGAGCGGCCGTGCCATCGGAAGCTAGGCGGGGACTAGGCCTGCTGGCGGAACCGTCGGATGGCCAGCCAGGCTGTCGCGCCTCGCCAATAATTGAATATCCGCACCGGTGCTCCAGCCGTTGCCGTCGATGCTACCCATCTCTGCGAGCTGTCGTCCGTGGACCCTTCCAGACCCCGAAGCCGTCTCAGCAAAAAAAGCACATGCGGAAAATTAAACCGCACCAATGTGTAGTCAACGAGAAGCAGCCGTCAGGTGTCATATCGCGACGTTTTGCTTTTGGGCATCCGGAAGTGGTTCGACTTCGTTGAGGATCGGGTGTTGGAGCAGCATCATTGGGAGCTCGTCATCTGGCATCGGCAGAGGGCTGCGCATCTCATTGATGCGGCTGTCGACGGCAGTTTCTGTTATCTCGCCGGCAGTTGCTCGCATGCCGAGTCCAAAGTCCGGCTGTTGAGGGCAAGCGCAGGGCAGATGCGCGTGCGTCTGATAGCCATCTTGTCCCTGGCGGCTACTTCGTGCCCCAGGATCCTGCGGCTGACAAACAGAGCTTGCTAGTTGTGGCAAAGCGGCAGAAGCTTGCGGGAGGGCATCGTAGATGAAGCCCGACTGAGGCCAGATGGTCATATCCCTGCTTGCGATATCTCTATCTTCCCCGCGTCAGTCAGTACTGATGTCCTTTGCCAGAGATTCAAATGACAGTCAAGGGGGGGATACCTACGCACATGAAGGAGCCTAGACGAGTCTCCTCGTTTACATGTGGGAGATCAGCACCCCATCTGCTTTCACTCGCCTCCGTCTCTAATCCCCTGATGGTGCGCGGATATTCAATCTCTTGCTGGCAATGAGGACGCGCGGGCGTTGGAGTGGTCATGCTCGGCTCGGACGCTCGAAGTGACTCAGGCGAGAGCTGGTGTAGAAGACGTGCACTCTCGCCCCGTCTAGAAATGACAGTGCTCGCCTCGGCTTCCTGCAAAGGCGTCCTAGGCAGTGAGCTTTCTCTTGTTGCCCGGGCTGAAGGGCCTGTATATACGCACCCGACCCCCATCCGCCTGCAGTTTTCACTGTTTGCGGCATCGCAAGTTAGCAAAACATACATAACGAGACGGGAATGAAATCCCCGTGCTCCGCGCAAACTTACCAGGCAGGTTTCCCCGAATCGCAGCGGACATGCCTTGTTTTGCATTGTTGGCAACCGTTCCTCGACCTCTGGTGATATCTCCGCTGCCGCTGCTGCATTGCTTCTGTGGTCGAGAATAGACACGGCAACAGGTCCAGGACGTCACGCGGGGCACCTGGTGACAGGATCGCAGTATATCGAGCAAGTGTTGACAGATGTTGAAGGTTGGATTCGCACCAGCGATCATCACTAAGTGGCTCCGACAACACCGGGAATGGCATCGTGCACATACAAAACACAAGGTCCGCTGATATATATCCATTGCTACCCAGACATCACCCTCAATCATGTTCGTATCGACATCTCATACCAGGAGCCACCGAGCTATCGGCTGCGCTTTGCCCATATTACTGGCGGTGGTCCGCGATCAGGTCGGAAGAAGGATCTCATCCATCCAAGGCTACGAGGCGTCAGCCAAATGGCGGTTGGCCCGAGAGGGAAGATAATGCCGCCATCCCCTAAGCCTGTGAAAAGCGATCGGTCTTGCGGGATTAGAGCGGACGAGGGAGGATGCGTTCTCTCGGTGTGTGAGAAGTCGTAGGGGCTAAAGCCAAGGTCGGATATGGGCGGCAACCATACCTGCCTGCTTTCTTCAAATGCTCACTCGTTGATGCTGTCTTGGTATGAGGAGAGCAAATTAGCCATCACCAAGACCGAGTGCTAGGCATCAAGCTCCGTGGTGCGTCGGAACTAGGAGTAGGTGGTTACGGTCGACTCCTGGGTGCATTTGGTGACAAAACTGGATAGCCTATAATGGCGGCTCCGTGGTTGTCATCTGGGGCCAGCAATGTCATGATTTCTCTCGTTGCCTCCCGCACGGCCCCTTGTGGAGGATTACACGAGCTTATTCCGTCGTCCTTGGCCATGAGCAAAGCCTCTGATGATTCTGCACAAGTGCCTGGTGGGTGCGGCGCATTCGCATTTGTGGCTCAGCCGTAAAATCCTACGCGCCCCCACACAACCGCGCCTCACCAGGCTGCCAGGGCTTGACAGCCCAGATCGCTTCCACGCCGATCCGAGCCGCTCGGAGTATTGCGAGATTGGTAGCCGGTGGAGACGATTAAGCGCAAGCGATCGGTCATGGTATCAAGGGAAGGTTATCTGGGATATCGAGGGGTTCTGACATGACCCATTCCACACATTTGACTTCACAACTCAATTTTTATTTCCCTCTTCTACCTCCAGTCGCACAGTACTCGAGCCGATATATAAAAACATGCCGATTCGGTGCTGCTATAATACCGTATGACGATAGCTGCGCACCAGATTCCCAGCGCTCAAGTGGCTCGACTAGCCCTAGATAGGCACCAGGAGGTGCATCCCAGTCGATCATGGTTGCTTCTTCCAATGTCGAGCGGCAGAGCCGAGATTGCTGGTGACATTACGAAGCATGAAGCGAGCGACCAAACGACTTAACTTTGGGTTTATTGCTGATTCCGCCCCCGGGCTCGCCGTGTTTTTCAGGCATGACCGAGTCGTGCCCCGAGGTCCGTCCGTGAAGCCACCCCGCCCGCCCTTGGATTGCCTGCCCCATGGACACGCTCATGGACACAACCATGGACACGGGCAAGTCAACGGGCAGCGGGCAGCAGCGACCGCAGAGCGCAACGGCTTACCAGCCGTCCACGTGACGCACCAGTTGAGCCGGGCACGATCGTCTGGAGTCCCCCGCCTGCACGATTGGGTGGTGATGCATAATGTCGTTCCATCCATTAGGGCCCACCCGACCGAACCAACTTTCCGCTTTCTGGTTTTCTGCCCAAGCCCAACCGAAAAGCCGCCTTCAACCAACCGAGAAAGGCGAGCCGAAACCGATAGGCGCCGTCATGGAACATTCGCCCGCTTGACCGCTCCCTCACTCCAGGGTCGTCCCCTGCTGTCCTCCTTCTGGATCTCTGGAATGCCTGCCAACCACGCACCTTTTGCTTTTGCTCCCCCCACGGCAACCCCTCACCCCTCACCCATCACGAATCCCGCCCACCAGCCTCCATCTCGGTCGAGCTTTGGGCAACAATCGCGCAACCTTTACGCTCGACTCGTCCCTGCCCAACTCTACCCCGTTCCGCCTCGGGATGGCTTCGTCCCAGTCCAGACGGGGGAGCACAGGGCACGCGCGCAGGCGCACCGACGCCCAACGCCGGCCTGCATTCCTCCCTGTCCTATACTCCCGCCCACACTATAGGATCGTGTCAGTGATAGACGCCCTATCTCACTGTGTGAAGCATATGCTCGGCAACCCGGGGTGCCCCCTGGCCCGAACCGACCACTTGTCAATCCCCTCGCCCACGCCTGCCCCCGCGTCCGCTCCCATCGTTGTCTGCGCATTGCCTTTGTCCCCTGCCACCCCTTCCCTTCTCCGGTCAATCGACCGCCCCTTTCCCAGCTAGCCAGGCTCGCCGCCAGCCATCAAGACAAATGATTGATGATGCTCTCTAGCCCCGTCGCACCCGTCGCAGGGGTTTTTTCTTGGCCCACCACTTGATCATCGGACCACGCCCCATCCTCGGGCCCGTGTTAGAGCCAGCACTCACGACTGCCTGTTCCTTTTTTTTTTGCACTCGTGTGTGTTTGAAGGGGTTGTTGTCAACGTCCTGGTGGCCACGCTGACGTCGCCACCAACGGGATATTGCGTACGCACACGTCGCTGCCGCCGCAACACACAAAACCTCGCCGTCAGGGGTGGTGGAAGGGAGGCTGTGGCATGGGCCCAGACCGAGGCAGATTCGAAATCGTGGACCGTGAACCCGCCCCGGTCCTCTGGGTTGTGGTTATGGGGCGCCGCCCACGACTCGAGCACGCAACAAGCTCAACCAAACCCTGGCTATTGACGGAACCGCATCTGCCACGGCCACAAGGGGGCGGGGACACGCACACACGCCTGAGAGCAAGAAATTCCCGATCTGTTTGCACGATTGGATGTGTGGGCAACCTGGGGCAACTGTTGCGTAAGTGCCCTGGCCGTATAGAAATCTCCATTTTTTTTAAAAAAAAAATTAATAGGGCAGGCAAGTAGGCCTCTTTTTTTTCTTTTTTTTTTTTTTTTGAGTTGGCTTTTTTTTTGATCCCGCGAGCCTTTCCCTGGCCTCGGTACCCCGCCCAGTCAGTCCGTCCGCCTTCCTCCCCTGGCTCTTCCCGACGGTTCCCTGCACAGGACACACATACGTGCAGGATGGGCAAGTCATCAGTCGTCGTGAGCGGGTAGACCTGTGTGCCCAACCTGCCTCCGTGGCATCTCGTTGGTTGCTTTTGATTTTCTGCCTGTTATTATTTGCCACATCCCCGGTCTGCCCCTGTGTCGTTTCAAGGCGCCATGTAAACCGCTTCCCTGGTCGGGCCTCATTCCGATCAAGCTGTCAGCTAGCCTCCCATCTGCCCCCGGCAGTCCCCCCTTGGAGTCCCATCTGCCAGCGGTATTTTAGAAGCACGGTTTCCCCCCACACAGGATAAACGGTGCCTGTTTTACCCCATACGTTGCGACTCACATTGTCTGGAACGGAAGAAAAAAGCTATTGCTTTAGCTTCTCCCCCCTCGGCACCCGCTCTCCAAGCACCTGGACAAGGAACCACTGGCGAGCCCGCCATCGGGTGTTCTTGAAAAGTCCACTTCTAATGCGATCACCTGCACTGCACAATTTCACCGCCTGGACTACCGTCGAAACAAACATATCCTAGGGACCAACCGTTTTTTTTTTCTTCCTGGGTCCCCTGAGCTCCCTGGAATTTTTTTTTTTTGATCTCGTCCCGCAACTGGAACTTGCCGATTGGATTGGACCTGTCCGCCCGCCGGACGTTCTGACATATTACCACTAGCAGGACAGGAAAAAAGAGCCCACCAAGAGTTTGGAAGGAAATTTTTTTTCTCGTTGCTAGTTTTTCTGCCGGCGAGGAGGGACGAGTTTTGTTATACTCTTCCTTACCTAACCGACCAGCACGTCCTCCTCTCTTTTCTTGTTTTTGGCAGCCGCCCCCGAGATACCAACTCTCGCCCTGGACATTGGAATGAGCAGGTCTGCTGTTCCCACAATGGTCGGCAGAGATATGGCACAGCCGGATTTTGCCTACATGTCTGTCCCGACCAGCGGACCGTGGAGCTCTACTCGAAGGTGCGGACCGGATGACCTCTCTCTCAAGACTTTTTTTGTTCTATCCCCTCCCCTCCAATGCCGATGGCAGGCCTCCGAAGCTGACCAACCACCGTCCGTGAAACAACAGCCCGGGCTACAATGACGCCTACCAGCACAACGGTGGTGGTTTCGAGGCAGTGAAGCACACCTTTCAAAGGCAGCCAAGGTATGACCACGCCACCTCCAATTGGGCTTCTCATTCGTCTTTTTGTACCCTCATTCTGCCGTAGCCTTACCCTCCCGCCAAGCCTTTTTTCTGCACCCCATCATCCGCCCAGGGATTCTTTCTTTCGAGAGCCCCTCATCCACAGGCTACGTATGGGCACCCAAGAATAACACTGCGGCACCGTCAAGCTTGCCATACAATCCAGGAGCCTCTACATACAGCCTGCCAGGCACTGTATCCGCCCCGGGCCAACAGCTTCCGACCCATCTCTCCCGTGCCGAAGCCGCATTCTCGTCTGCAGGCGCCTTCAACCAGCCCCGCCCCCCACCAGGTGTCTTCCCGAGCAACCCGCCGCCCACCTTCGCTGCGTTCAAAAACCCGACCGCTCCAGGATGGGACCACGCGGGCCGGTTCTCGCCGGCGGACTCGCTGGATGACATCATGGCCTCCCCAAACTTGTCCGACTACTCCCTCGAGAACAGCGCGGGAACGACCCCGCCGGGCAAGAGCGGCAAACATAACAACGCCAAGGGTGGCAACGGAGGAGCAGGTGGAGGCAGGCCACAACGGCGGCCTTCGAACCGCGACGAGTTTGATGGCCCCCACCAGTTCCTGCAACGTCCACCGCCCGAGTACGTGGCGATGCAGGAGCGGGAGTTGCCGCATCTGCCAACCAACCTGCTGGTGCAGGAGCAGGACAGCGTCCTGACGCAGGTCAACGATCGGCTATCCCAATGCGCCTACGACTTTGTGGCCAAGTATCAGTTTCCGATTCCGCTCACACAGGACATGCGGCCGGTGGAGCGGCCGCAGGATCGGGAGTGGACCGAGTGGGTGTACCTGCTCAAGAGGCTCGCGACCAAGCGGCGGATCCCGGCCCGCGTCCTGTACAACGGGCAGATCAAGCAGTTTGTCACCATACTCGAGAATTCGCTCGAGATGAGGCACGCAGCCAAGCACCAGTCGAGGCCGCTCAAGGACGACCGCAACATCCTGCAGCTCATCTCGGCCGGCATCCAGGTGGCCAAGATCCTCAAGGACGCCCCGGCCATGGACTACCTGGACAAACTATATGTCTCTACAGAGAAGCAGATTCAGGAGAGGGCCGCTGCCGCCGCCGCGCGATTCCGAAGCTGAATCGCCATGCTTCTTGGGCCCAAGTCATGTGCAGACCGGCATGTGCAGGAATTTTACATCTAATGTTTTGTCAAACGGCCGACCTTTTACTTTTGTCTTTTTTTTTTTTTTTTTTTCTTTCCTTCTTTTCTCTGCCAACTGCAGCCTCGGAGTTTATCGTCAATTTTGTCCTCAGTGCCTTCTTTTTGGCTTTTATGAAAACCATACGGTACTCTCATGTCTTTAGAGGCAGAGCAGACAGGCCCCTGATGGATCAGCGGGCCATGGACGGAGGGATATGGGAGCGGTCACACACATGAGCTTTCCTTCCCCCTTTGTCACAAAACATACGTTGTAGCTGTTTCGCTACGTTCATAAGCACACGCTCGCCCGTCAGCATACGACGGCACGCACGCACATTCCTCCCTCCGGTGCGACTCCTCGCAAACGCAGCACAACCGAGAAAGAATAGACATAGGGAAGGAATCTTGTTTTCTTTTTATCGTTGTCTCTTTTTATTGTCCTATTTGTTTCATCATCTCTCTTTCCAGATATCCTCGGCAGACTCTTGTATCGAAAAAAAAAACGAGTGAGGATACGGACTTGTTGGTTATCTTTGGCGGTGGCGCGCATGCGGGGAACACTAAACTTGTTGTCTTACGACGTATTGGGAGTGAGGTTTGTGGAACCAACTACTTGCACGTTGGTTGGGTATTTGCTATTTACCTTGCTTGGGCTTTTTTTTATTTTTTTATCATCAAGTCACGTCCTCATTCCGAGGTTCATTTTTCCAAGCTCCCATCCTCTCTTTGGATGTCGCGTAATGCTCGTTGTTGGCATCTTTATCCTTGCGCGGAGTTGATGGATTTGGAGTCGACCTGCGCGCGTGGGAGGCTTGGCTTTTTCATGCTTAATTCTTGGGGGCGGACAGTTCATCTAGCCGAAATTGACATAATCGACTCTTCCGCCATTTTCTTTTACCTTTTCGTAAACTGGGCAGCAAAGCGTTGCCATGTCGTATACAGGCAGGTGTTGGTTACCCAGATCAACCCCATACCTATGTGGACAAGCCGACCTTGCGCAACACGGGTAGTGCGTGCTTCTCACACTGGTGGCACCCATTTTGCGGCTTCGCAGAGACCCAACAGCTGACATGGATTGATCGTTTGGTGTGTTGGCACGGAGCCGTACGTACAACAGGGGCAGGGCGCATGAGGGGGACATGCACCTGTGACAAACCTGTGGCGTGTAACAACACGCAGAAAACGGGGGGAAGACTGACAGCCCCGCGTTTGTAGTTCCCTCTGGTGTGTGTGTCTACGTAGGTATGTGTGGCCTGGTGTTCGTCCGTTCTTTCGTCCACTCGGAGGTCGTCGAAAAAAAGAAAAAAAAAGAGTACGTGGATTCCACAGCCTCGATGAAGCAGTCACCTGTGTGTGGCGGCACGAGAGAGCCCAAAAGGCTGGATACACAGCGACGACGGAAAGCAGGGGGTGAAAGGGAAAGAAAAAGGGTAGCGCAACCTCTTCACCGTGCCATGTTGACATAGATTTACACATGGGCACGGCATTTTTTTTTTTTTTCGTTCGTTTTCTTTTTCTTCTCATTATCGTTGTTGCGCGGCAGGCCAGGGGGCCAGGGGACAGGGCCATGCGCCGCCGCGCTGTCATTCCCGCAGCACGCAAGACGGCGTGCAGCGCTTCGTCCCGCCATGGGGCAGGGTAACGGTAACGGTCGGGCTGATTCGTGCTTCCTTGTCTTTTTTTTTTTTCTGCTTTCCGTCTGGTGCTCAGGCCCGGCATGGGGGTGAGTGACGTGACGCCAGGGCTGACTGGCGTCGCGGGTGGACTGTGCTTGTACTGCTGGGCTTCCACTCTTTTTTTTTCCCTTGAGCATCGATCTCCAGCAGATGGGCCGGAAACGCGTGGTCCGATTCTGACTGGGGCACTGGGGGGTGGGGGACAGACGATGCCTTGGTTTCTTGGGTGCCCGCACAAGGGAGAGGGAGAAACCATAGAGAATGTTCAGCTCCTACAGCCAAATTATACATGAATGGAGCAGTCTGCCCAAAAGGATGGCCGACGCGACGGTGCTCATACCGAGCAGTCAAGCCAGCGACCGACCGAAAATTGTCTGGCGATCCCAAGCCAACGACAGCGTCCGAGAAAGCCAACCCAAGGGTCGGTTCGGTATTCCTTTTGGGACTAGCGCGATATTCGGTCTTGCCGCATTGAGCGACCGAGGGGCTGAATCCTGTGGCGATGCGTGAGCGGCGGCACCCCCTGCCCTGCCTGCCCCCCAATGCTTCTCCAGTTACGCCGTGCCTGTCGCTCACGGTATTAATGTCCAACGCCTGCCCATCTGCGCGTTGCAAGGCGGGGCCGGCTTTTGGAGAGGGATTGGAGTCTTGCATCCTCCATCTTCCACTTCCCACTTCCCTCAACTCACCGCATCGCGAACTCGCGGGAATACAAGAAGAGAACAAGTCGAAAAATGAGAGGATAGCAGCTTGGGCACCACAAGCCGACACGACACTGTGGCCCCAAACCCCCGCTCGCCGGCTGACTGTTTGTTCTTGTGAAGCCGTCCACCCCGTCATTGCCTCTTTTCTCTATCGCACTGCGCAAGCGGTGCTTTGGTTACTCGGCGCTTTTTTTTTGCTCGACTTGGGCGCGCGCTGTAGCCGCTGCCAAACGCTAGCGCAACAGAACACAGCCGTCCGCTCCACCCCCCGCGCGGCGACACAGGCGACAAGAGCGAGGCTGCTGACGCCCTCGTCCTTCCCGTCTCCCTCCTCGTCGCCCCATCCCCGGGCGAAGGTTAAGGTCCAGACCACATCGGAGCTCGAACCCGAGAAGCTCCGCCCGTCTGTGGAACAGTGTGCGCTGTGTATTTAAGTAGGATTGTGCTTCCCACCAGGCACTGGGCGGTATCCCGACGTTGGGCCCCAACTGCCATTCGACTGCCAGCTTTCGCCTATATTCTCCCCCCGTTATCATACAAAACCAGTCTCACGCGATGGCCTCGGTCGCCTCTTCCGGTACATCCCCGCTCGCGGCGCTGGACGCCTTCCAGGGCGGTGAGTACATAGCCACCGACGACGAGTCGTGGGCCTTTATCTCCCCCGACGGCCTTGCCCCGTCCAGCAATGGATCCATCGATTTCTTCCCGAGCCCGGACACGGGCAGCCTGCGCTCGTACGGCGTCGTCCGCCGCGCCGGCAGCCACGGCGGCGTCCAACCGTCGCCGCCCGCGCCCTCCCCCCTGTTCCTGGACACCGAGTCGTCGTCCTCGCAGGGCTTCGCCCCCATGAGCGGCATCTCGACCGCCGCCGCCGACCAGGGCTCCTTCGCGAGCAGCCACGGCCACCACCAGCAGAGGCACCATGCCGGGTCGCTCTCTTCTGCGTTTGGCGGCGACCAGAGCGCCACGTTTTCGGACGACCAGGCGTCGCTATTGGAGCAGCTCGCGTTTGCAGACCACATGGTCGCTTTCCCCTCGACGGCAGGGCCGGTCGACGGCCAGATGACGGGCGTGACAGTTGGGGAGAACATTTATCACGGACGTCATTTCAGGACAAACGAGTTTGTCCTGGGCGATCACACCATTCAAGGTGAGTTTATGAGCGTCGGCACCCAAGTGATCAATCCGAAGCTTACGGCGTTAGACCTCGACATCTCCCGGTTTATGAACGGGGCATGGGACACCATGCCGTCGCAAGCGCTGCCCGCCACCGGCATCGCGCCGCACGCGACAATGAGCCCCCACGGCCCTGTCTCGCTCGATATTCCCGTCGGTATGCGGCAACAGTCTGACGTCAACGCGGCGCCCTGGAGCCCGCCAGCGGCCATGCAGACCGCCAACGGTAATAATAACAACAACAACAACAACGGCAATCTGATATTCAGGATGGAGGAGTTCGGCCCCCAGTCGGCCTGCACACCCATGACGCCATCCTCGACTTCGAGCCCTGCCGCCTGCTCCTCGGCGAGCCCGATATCGCCCCTGGTGAAGCACGAGTCTGACCCCAAGTCAACGAGCGACGCCGCCATCCGCAAGGTCAAGAACGCCCGCATCGAGAAGCGCAGGTCGCCCGCGGACTCCACCAGCAGCATAGCGAGCAGCAGCAGCGGCGGCTCGGCGAGCAGCGAGGTGGCGCTAAAGTTCATCACCATCTCGTCCGAGTCGGCCGCGGCGTCGGGCGGCAAGGGGAACATGTTTGAGGGGTACGACCGGATGACGCAGCGCGGCCGGAAGGGGCCCCTGGCCGACGCGACCAAGGAGAGCGCGCTCAAGGTGCGGAGGATAGGCGCCTGCTTCAGCTGCCACGCGCGAAAGGTCAAGTGCGAGGCGACGCGACCCTGCAAGAGCTGCGCCAAGATTTCGCTGCCCCAGATCATTTGCTGGCAGTTCACCGACTTCACGACGGTCCTGTTCCCCTTCATGATGCGCGAGCACTTTGTCAAGGAGAAGATGGCAGCCTTCGTCGCCGAGAACGTGCAGGACTTTCTAGTGGACGGGGTCGAGCGGCCGTGCGTGGTGGAGCTGACGGCGGGCAGGCGCTTCACGACGTACCTGACCATCACGGCCAAGGCCTTCACGCCGAACAAGCCCGAGATCCTGGCGCACTGGGGCCAGACGCAGGAGCCCAACGGCTCCGTGTCGCTCAGCTGCGGCGTTGCGGTGCCCGTCGGGCTCGACATGGCGGCCGGCGACGGCGGCGCCCAGCGGGCCGACCTGCAGAAGCGCGCCAAGGATTTTGTCACCAACCTCATCCGCGACCCGTGCTTCGCCGAGGAGATGACTGCCGAGATCCGCTCGACGTGCCTGCCACGCGACGTGCTCCGCGTCGTCTGCAAGTATGCCGCGCGCAGCAAGGTGAGCAAAGCCTGGTCGGTTTCCCCCCTTACCTCACATGCGGAGCTAACCAATAACCAACCAACCCCCCTTGTTTAGTCGGAGATCGTGGACAAGGCACTCCGCGTGTACACCAACCATTATATACTCACGCGGCATCTGAACGTCACGCCCAAGGGATTGAGCCAGCTGATGCGCATGCGGCTCGCGTCGCAGAACCACGACTCGCAGACGACGCGCCTCCTGAACCGGCAGTTCAAGGCCGTCCTTGACGAGGTCCACAAGCAGGAAATGGCCGAGCTATTCAACCTGTTCTCGAAGCTGCTGAAGCCCAAGATGCGCAAGGAGTGGGCGCCCTGCATGGCCGCCTTCCTCATCCTCACCCTCTTCATGGAGGACCTGGAGGTCACGATTGACGTTTTCGGCACGAGCCAGAATCAGATCGACAAGGACCGCGAGCGCCGGCCCTCGGAGGAGTTCAAGCGGTCACACATGCTGGCCATGAATCGTGAGATTGAGCATATGCCTTTTAGGCAATTTGCCTACCAATTTCACCAGATTTACCAGACGCACTCCACGGACGCGTCGACCAAGCCATTCAACCCGCTCGTGGACGCCTCGCTCCTCGACGAGCAGAACCTGGACCCCGCGGCCATGGAGATGGTGCGGAGCTTAAGGGATATGATGAATGACTATGAAATTGGTGAGTCTTGCAGTCATCTTTTCATCTTCTCTCTCTCTCTCTCTCT